CCTGTCTAGAGCAAGCTTCAGCAGCAGCCTGTGGCCCAGGGTCACAGCAGTGGGTGGGTAGCAGGTGCGGCCTGGGAGCTTTCGGAAGCAAAGCCAAGGAGGACAAGGAGTGGTTCCCTATCACCACACTGGGTCATCCGGTCAAGGACATGAAGATCAGCTCCCTGGAGGAGACCTATTTGTTCTCCCTGCCCATTACCAAGCCGATCATCTACTTCTTCCAGGGGATGCCCCTTAAGAACGAGGATTTGAAGATCGTCCCTTGACCCAGAAGACAGCTGTGAAACCAGAGGAGCAGAAGCAGAACCAGGAGTCAGAGCAAGAAGCAGTGTGAACTTTCCGGCACACAGAGCAGCTAAAGTTGGGTCCTTGGAGGCAGGCAGGAGGCAGGCTTGCGGAATGGGTGCCTCTGGCCAATTAATGGGGGAAGCAGGACTTGCTGACCCATGGGGGTGGAGCTGAATCCCTTCAGGTTGAGGTTTACTGGAATAGGGTGCCTCTAGGCACTTAGTTTGGGGAACTGAGTTAGCTGACCCCTGGAGGTTGAACTTGAATGCCTTTGGTCGAGGGTTACGGTGAAGAGTGAAGTGGCACGCTTTGGGGGCGTTGATTAGTAGCCTTGAGAGAACTTTGTAACATATCCTGACCAAACAACTGGATCCTGCACATTTTCACCTATGTTTCAACTTGGAAACTTCCTCAATCAATCTTTTAATTATGAATATTGTCTAAGTTGGGTGGCCATTGCAATGAACTCAGTAGCTGGCGAAGCAAAAAACACATTGAATGTCAGACATTCGATGTCAGGAGAGCGGGGTTTGTCGCAATGGCTCGAGACTCTCAGAATCAACACATACTTCACAGGAACCAGCACCCGCTAGATCCATCCTACCCGAGGCCCCAGGTCATAGGTACAGAAATACATAGTCCAGGGGTGGTGAAGAGATGATTAAAATTGGGTATTATTATGTGTTAGGGGTTATATGTTTGACGGTACTATTGATAGTGAATGTTTCTCCTACCTGATATTATAAACTAGGGGGTCAAACATGATTACAGGAGCTTGTGAGCTCACCTTCAACCTATATTTGATTGGATATGTTAAAATGGGAGTTAGGAATTACCTGGGGAAAACTGAGTTTTGTTTGAAGTCAAAGTAGAGTAAAGGGCTTAGAAAGCAAATCTGAGGTCCACCCAGAACTGCTGGGAGAACAGCATATTTTATTTTATT